TAGTCGAGCAATCAGCCGGTAAATGACTCGCGATAGTGTGGTGTTCCGCAAGAAATAGCGCGGTTTGAGTGCAACGGGGATGATAAACGTGACGTCACGCGGTAAGCCGCCTGAGCCAGTGGTATGTTGGAATGTTGGTATGTTGGAATGTTGGAATGTTGGAATGTTGGAATGTTGGTATGTTGGAATGTTGGTATGTTGGTGGCCTATGCCTGTTGTCAGCGGATGGAAGCCTCGAATAGTAGAAGAACAGGATGAAGACGTGTTAACTTACAGACGGCCAGAAGGACTGAACGACTAGGGATAGAAACGTCAGGGGTTTGCTTTGGCCTCTTCTTTGTATATCAACGGCAACGCCGACCCATGTTTTTGTGATTTTGTTCGACTTGAAGAGACCACTCGCTATTGGTGAGCATATTGAAATTATCTTGTTCTTAATCATTCAGAGGAGTACTGCCCTGATTTCTGCATTTTTCTTGGAATGGCGCTATGTAATTCGTAATACGAAGAAATTCCAGCGTTTCTGACAGAACCGTACGACCAGATTTCTTCAAGGTGACTGAACTGTCATCGTCTCACTAGGGTGGCGGTTGCAAACATTCGTCCTAGGTTCCTGTCATCATTGGAATATAGGGCCGTGACTTGCTTCATTGTGGCCCATAAGTGTGGTGTGGTTTTGACGCTCTTCATGCACCACTCCGCGCGTGGCGGCCATGGGATGGAACCTCCCACGTCTCAAGTCGTCGACCGATAGCTTCCCCGGCGTCTGGCATTTCACCATTCACTCGGCGTGCATGCTAATGAGGAGCCAATGGCCCGGAGGCCACAGAAAGCCGAACTGTACGTTACTGTAACTGTAGGCCACTGTGATTGTAAGCCACTGGTGTTGTGTGTCACTGCTGCTGTAGCTAATCGCTACTGTTACAGTCGGCTTTTGTAACCGTAGGCCACCGTCACTGCAGGCTCCTGTTACTGCAGGCTACCGCTGCTGCGGGCTGCTATTACCGTGGGTTATTGTTACTGCGGGTTGTTGTTGCTGCAGAATACTGTTGCTGTAGGCCACTGTAACGTGGCGTGTCCCGACGGCGGCAGCCATATCGATCAGCCCACCTCTATGGATTCGTGACTGATGGTCAGGACAGCGTCTGCCCGTATCATGAATGCCTTGGTCGTCGGCGGAGGCACGTCGGGTCGCTCACAACGATTACCCTTTTTCATTGCGTTTTTGTCGTCATTTGCCAGCTCCCTCCCTGTGGTTTCGTCCACACTCGGCTATGGCCCACACATAGGTCCAGTCTCTTTAGAGCACGGAAAAGCCAGATAACTAACTTGTGATCGTAGGTATACAACTAACAAATATGGACATAAACCGGCAAACTGATGCGCTGGTATATGACAGAAAACATATCAGCAGACTGGCCAATTGTCAGACTGGCAACAGGACACACAGCTGTTGTTCAACTTGCCCAAAGAAGACTGGCACCTTAACGTCGAGTGTTCGCAACGTCACACATGCGCCGAGACGGGATTCGAACCCCAGCTGTTGATCGCAGTCAGCTGTTGATGCCCGACAGGTCCGCAAGAGTGTTCGCTATGTTTGCGGCGGCAAGCTGGCTGTGGTGCTGGGCTGGCGGAATGCCCATTTCATTTAGCTGCCGTGAACGACTTATTCCTCGGGAATTGCTGGCGTTGCAATGTCAGGTACGATTTAAATGCCCGCGTCTCTAACGTTATGCCCGTTAACGTTTGCCGCGTCTCTAGCGCTATCGGCTGAAGGAAATGTACCTCATTGGCTAGAGGAAATGTACCTCTTTGGCTAGGGGAAATGTACCTCACTGGCTAGAGGAAATGTACTTCATTGGCTGTTTTTGGTGAAGCAATGTGCTCCTCGCGAATGCTTTGTACTACAGGCTCAGTTCTTCGGAAAATATTTCAAACACTTTACTTTGGGATGAGCAGGTGTAATCGTTTGGGACTCCTGTGCTTTCCACGTTCCATTAACGAGAACGTGAAAGAATATGTTCAGCCTGAAAGTGTTTCCAAGGGCGTGTGCAGGTTGCGCAATATTGAGTACAACTCAAGATTTTTGACTGAAGTCTCCATCTGAACAAATTTCAGGTGCGTAAAATTTATTGCATAATGTAAAGCAGCATGGCACGTTTCCGATCTACTAATTTGTGCGTGTCTATTTCGATCTGTTAACTGTCGACACTCATTCATATGCATAGCAATATGCGTCTACATTTCAAAACGGGGAACGTGCCTCCGTTGCCCTCTCCCCCCCCCCCCCCTCCTTTTGAATACGCCATTGTGCATTTATATTCTCGACAATGTGACCTAACAGTCAGAATGCACGTATTGATGACCCTGTCCTCTGGCTAATTGGGACGTGTTGTCCAAATGTGAACTAAAAGCAATGCAAATGCATTCAAGAGCTGTATTCGCCAACTGCTCAACTTTGTCCTACAGTCTGCTTGACTGCATTGTCTCCACTAGAATAGACTCTGAATTTAACGATGTTGGATTTAGTCAGAGTAGAGGCCAGGTTCACTCAAGGAGAGCCGAGCACAGCTCCATTATTTCACTTATTTCTATTTCGTATCTCCACATCAGGTATATATATATATATATATATATATATATATATATATATTCCCGTATTTCTGTTTAGTGTCTCTGTTAAGTATCTCCGTTAGAACTCGCCCGGCCGTCATGAGAGGCTGACGCCCGCGCCGCTGGGGCCGACCCGGGGCGATGGGTTGCCTGGGGGGAACCGTCACTCTCACGAGCTGGGGTTGACCTGGGGCGATGGGTTGCCTGGGAGGGACCGTCACTCTCACGAGCTGGGGTTGACCTGGGGCGATGGGTTGCCTGGGCGAGACCGTCACTCTCACGATGAAGGAATTCAGATCCTAATTATAATGAACCATCGATTATATGGAAACTACCGCTCCAGCCTGCGGCCGGTTCTCGTCTGCTGTCCCTCCCCTATCCCCATGGTCAGACCGATGTTCTCTTAATCGCTGTCGATTACATCACTTCCCGGGCATTTGCAGCCCACTTTTCCTCGGTCAGCCGGCTCCCGTTTTCCGGCCAGCCAACGCTGTGGTCTGGACAGTGGTCCAGACGACCCGATGCTGTTGTCCGCGCTGGTGATCATTCGGTGGGCAGACTAAGGCAAACGCGGGCTCTGGCTTTGATTCAAGGCGGACGCAGGCTTTGGCTTTGGTTCCAAAGAATGCGACGGCTTGAACGCGGTGGTATGGCGCCCGGTCGGTGATTGCGTCTTGTTTTTCCGGAACGAGCGGGAAATAGCGAAGAACGTAACAGCCACCTACCTTCCGAAATAATTTTTTTGCCAAGGCAAGCGCCTGCTCGCGTGTGCTTTTCGTTGCGTGCGATCTCTCATGAATGTGTTATACTACTGTCGTTTATTCGGGGGCTTACAGCTAAGGAAATAATTAATATCAAGCTTGCTGGTATGAGTGGGGATGCACGTTATATGCATGTGTTGCGAAGCTGAGAGAAGTATGCCGATTGTTGTGCACATGCAGAAGAAAACCAGCGCTCTTGTCCATTACGCTCGTCCGGTGGTTGTCCCAAACCTACGTTTCGACATCAGCACTATCTTCTGGCTGAAGTGTGCTGTGTATCAGTTATGTAGCTATTTATCTTGGCGTGCACCCCTTACTGGCTGGTGTGGTTTCTTGCTGAGCGGCTTTGCCATGCAATGGTCACCTCACTGCAACTGGGCCAACTTAAAAGTACTGGTCTTGAATACGTGGAAAGTTGCGGTGTGCTCTTCTGGTTCACGTAACGTTTTCTTTTTGTTCAGTGACATGGCATTCATACGGCGGAAACGGGAGGCGATAGCAGTCTCACTGGTCAATGCCAGAAATCGGGACCTGGTACTTAACGGAGTTTCAGTCGACAGTGTTTTAAGCACAATGTTGAGAATACTTCAGGTGCTCGGGATTCAATGAGGCTATTTTTTAACTAAGATTTTTCTTGCTATCTAAAATATAGCACACGATCATAGCGGGCACAATTCGTTTAGACCACAGCTACGAATAAAAACCATCGGAGAAATGCAGAAAAATTTCACAATTACTGAAGACTTTTTACCCTCGAACATCGAACTTGACCAACTGCGAAAGTCGGAATGATAAGGCAAACGCGCAAGCCTGCAGTTCCTCGACGACCGACACAAGAAATCGAGGACGCAGCCCCGGCTTTCCGACGCTCCCAAGGGTCGCTAAATCTGAGGCGCAAACTAAGCTCCCGGAGGTCCCCAAATCCCACACCGATGGCAACGGTGCTGGACGAAAACACGTCCCGGACGCGGACCCCACTTCTTTGTCGACGACTCTCCATCCATCTCCACGTGCCCTCCAGTGTGTCATTAGCTTTCTCGCGGTTTGGAGCAGTCGTAAATCGTTCCTGAATGAGAGCGAATGTTGAGGAAGGGCGCGGCTCTAAAGGATGCGGTGACGGCTTTTGGCATGCGAGCTCAGGCGGGATAGTTACAAAATTGTGCCAACAGTTCCCGAGGGGCAGTCGAATGCAGTAAATGCCAGAGCTTACCAGTCATCACTTATTACAAAACAACTGCAAATATACATGGTCAGAGAGCACCTGGTAAGAGATAAGCTAAAGGGTGACGCGGAGTCCGGTGCCCTTTCCTGGGACGATGTATTTGGGATAAGAAGAAGGCAACAGAAGCGGAATGTTTCGAGCAGTGTGCATGTCAAAGTGCATTGTGCAGTGAATTACCAATAACTTCTGAAGAGCAGTCCAAACAGAAAATGGCAGCTCCACTTATCAACTTGAGAGCTGACAGATTTACGAAGCCAGTCAGCCTTGAGCTCCTCTAAGCGAGGTCCCAGTAACATCCCTTCTTTCAAGCGACGGCGCATGGCAAGCGCTAAGCTACGCAAAAATCGCCAGATGTGATTGCGCATTGAGACATGTTGCTCCTCCGCCCGCCTCCCATCACTTAC